CATCTTCTTCATGATCTCGTTGAGCTTCGCGTCTCTCTGCTTCTCGCTGGCCATGATGAGCTCCGTCAAGCGAGAGGTGATGCCGGTCTTCTCCTTGACTTTCGCCGACAGCGCCTGGAAAATAAAATAAAATCATGCGGAGTAGAGTTTGTGTCAGGCGTGGAAGTACTGTGCTGTTTCTCGTTGGCAGATGCTGCGGACAGCAACTGACTGATACATATATATATTGAACGCACGAAAAACAGACGAGACACAGGGTCAGGGACGTTTGCCCATGACCATTGCCGGCAGCAACGTCGGTAGAAGACACGAAGGCACAAAAGAAACGCACAGGCATCATTCGGTGCAATGCTGCTTCCATCCAGTCAACAGACAAATAACGACAAAAACGTACAGCCATTTTCGGCAAGCTTTGACACACACTAAAAACACTAAAACACACCTGTAGGACACAATGCTCCGATATAGGGTTTCGCTTATTTATGCCTTGCAGGATATTTTTTGTCGTCGACCTGTAGGTACATAAAACACCACACAATAGCTTTGCAATGCAATGCCGTTTCCACCCAGTCAGACGTTCGGTCAGAGGAGGAGTTACATTACAGAGGCCAGACCAATCACGGTCGTCAACTCGCCCCCCCGGCCCCACTGCAGTGCCAGGTTCATGCACGATTCGGGCGCTTGAATCCCAGAACTATTTCTGCAGTTCCTCACCGTGCGAGCCTTTTCGAACGCCTCTAGCTTTTTCTGAGCATCGCGATCCAGGAACGCCAGCTCCCTGTCCACCACCTCCAGCCTGCGGGGCCGCCGGCCACACCGAGAGAAAAAAAGAAAAGAAAACGCGAGGGGGCTCGGGAGGGTTATAAAGAATGATCATCCTGCTGCCGCTGTGGAAACCTACTGCTGCCGGCTCGCACTAAAGCGCAGCGCGTGGAGCAGTCCACGAGGAGCAAAACCGTGGGGAGTGCGAGTACGAAACATTGAGTTCGCCTGGGGACTGGAACAATCCATCACTACGCTTGCTTTCCGCTACTGTCTTGGCCAGCGCAACCGAGTACACTACATATGAGGAGACTCAAGGACGGATCCAAGCAAGAATGCCACCGGCGGACATGCACAAGGCGACAAGTTTGATGGGGCCTTCGTGAAGGGTGCCAAGAATGCGTGCGTGGTCCTCTGTTGTGGATGTCTCATCTGATATTGGAATGGCGTTCTCTGCTTGTGCAGCGCGGTATGCCCAACAGGGTGCGGGCCCAATTCCACTTCCCGAATCCCCTTTAGGGGATTTCCGTCAGGTAGCTAGCTATTTCGCATTCTTGCACGAACAAACGAGAGCAGTGCATCGTGCCACCGGCCACGACAGTAACGCCCTTTTCTTCCATCGTCCAAAAACGACATACGCGCGCTGTGGGTGTTGTCGCTCGAGATTGATTTCTAGTGCACTTCGCCTCGCTGTGTTTCTATTTTTTCACTTCGCGAGCGACACGAGATACAAGCCGGTGATATCGATGCAACTGCTGTCACTTGTTTCTAAGAAGCACAACCGGTTGGGAGCTAATCCTCTTTTCGGCACACCGAACAGGTTCTCGAGAAAATTGAGGTGCGCGACGTTCTTCCCGTAGAACGTCCAACCAGCAACTCTCGGGTGCGACAGCAAAACATGTCATGTGTGACCATTTTTGGAAGCCGATAACAGGACATCATAACAACAAAACTGGTGTTCGCTCCGCTCTGTCGTTTCGCTCACGCTGTGCCTCAACCACTTCACCTCGGCCCCTCCGACGCATGTTTCCCTGCCCCCTCTATTCAACCTACAACCCTCCCCTCTGTCCCCTCTTGCGCCCCCCTTCCTGCCTCTACAAGCCCCCAACCCCGACTGTTCTCAGCGCTATGCATACCGCTCACGTTTTTCTGAGATCGTTAACCTCTGTCTGGTGGCTCAAGGCGAGCTGCGCCAGCTCCCTATCCACCGTGGCAAGCAGCAGCGATTCCTGCAAGGCCGGCGTGTTGGTGGCATCGGTTGATTTCGTGCCGGCGACGGACAACAAGCGGCCACGTGGATTCAGGGCGAGGGTGGAGGGTCAAGCGAAACAAGGCAAAGAAATAAGCACCCCAGGGTTAACAAGCAAAGGGGAAACGGAAGCAAGTGCTGAAAAAACAAAGCGATTCGAGACAACGCACAGATAGCTATGCGTCCCCCACTCCGAGGATTTTTTTTGTAGAGCCTCGGCTCGAAGCTCTTTAAGGCAATCGCAGACCGTAGCCAAACCATCCAGAGTCAGCAAATCGAGATGCGAGGTCCGGTACGCGGCATTACCTTGTCCCGGCGTGCCTTCTGAATTTCCGCTGGGTTATACAGGGACGGTACTCAGCCTACCGTATATGACACGAGGTAACACACCCCCTGGACCGATTTTCAAAGCTCGATTACTCCACGACGAAGAGGATGCATAAACGAAACGATACATTTTCGAAAAGCTCTCGACGAGACGGTTTCAACGCCACCGTTTTCGGCGCTGTGACTGTTCCTGCAGTTGAGAAATCGAGCTTCGAAAAATGGTCAAGGGGGTGTGCTATCTTGTGTCATATACTATAAAACAAGCCTAGCCGGAGAAGCCACAGAAGTAGGGGAAGGTTTGGGGTCCGGTTGTGCCCACGTCGAGGGCGCCACCTCTTCAATCTTGTCGGCAGCCCATCCACGCAACCGATCCTTGGTATACCAGAACACTCACGGAATACCGCAAGCACTGGCGAAACGACATACCATGGGTGATGCAAGATACCACAGCTCAAGTACGCCAGGACGAACAGGATGCCAAAATCAAACGATATGTTTATGTTTTCGGAAACATCTCGATGAGACGGTTCCAACGCCGACAGTTTTGGTACCCTCATGTGGGAGTCATCGAGCTGTGAAAATCGGTCCATATGGGGTGTGGTATCTTGTTTGACCTACGGTAAACACACGCGCCCCCATGCACACAACCTCCCCCGCAACGAACAAACTCACCTGCTGCAGCGTCCGCTGCTTCTCCTTGAGTGCGTTCCGCACCGACTCCTCCTTCTTCTTGAGCGCTGCCTCAGACTTTTTCCACGCCTCCTCCTGCTTGCTAGTGACCCCCTTCGCACCCTTTCCCCCTGTCGATGCTCCTGCTCCTGCTCCAGCTCCAGCTGCTGTCGCCGCCCCTCCGAACCTGGCCACCTTCTCCCCGTTCACAAAGATGGGGCGGGAGGAAGACGGCCCGGCCATCTTTTCCGCGTTCAAGGCTGGTCGGGAAGACGCCGGCCCCGCCATTTTTTCGCCGTTGGCGGATGGTCTTCGTTGGAGTGGCGCCGCCGACGCTCCACCGTTTATCGACGCCCTCGACGCCGCTCCCACGTCCCCCGAGCCTCCGCCTAGCCGTCGCGGTTGTTCTGGGCTACCGCTGTTGCCTGCCGGCATCTGGAGGTCGCTGATGCTGTTGCCCGCTAAGACTGCTGCTGTTTTTTTTATTGATTCGATTACGCGAGCGGAGAAGCAACGAGGAACAGAACGTCGACCGATTGGAGGGGAAGTTTCGAGTCGAGTGGCGTTGTGAAGGAGAGTGAGCGCGGACAAACTTGGGGGAAGTCCAATCGAGTGGGTTGGAGGAGAGTGAGAGGGGGCCAGAGCTGCTCTCGGCAAGCAGTTCGCGCAACCAACGCTGCGCCCTTTTCGAGATAGGACATCGCAGGTTCGCCGGCAGCTGGCGTCGCGGTGGCCAACATTTTGATGGATTTCGGGGGTGAGGTGGAGAGGGCTGGTAGCATATGCACTCGGATCAAATTACGCGGGGTACTGAGGTGGTTCAAAGCACGGCATTCGGACATGCCGCACGCTGCAGATTGGAACGCGGCCAACGAAGGGCGACAACACCGTAATATGCACGTGTTGAAAGCGGTTGACGCACAAGGCACCCAACGGACGCCCCGCCCCCGCCCCGCCCCCGCCCCGCCCCCGCCCCCGCCCCGGCCCCAAATATTGTGGCGCCCCGCTCCCCCCTCCTGCAAGTTTATCACGTGGACAAACCCTGCTCGTTGCGGGTTTATTCCCAGCGGGAAAAAAAAAATCATTTCACAGCGTTCAGACGGTCATCCATAATGGCTGATATAGGGTAGCGAGGAACACTCCTGAAATAACTGAACATGCAGGCCCGATCTACACACCTCAGCGGTAGGATATCCGCCCGCTTCGACAAAAAAAGAGAACGGAATCCCTGCTGTACTGAAGTCTGACGGCTGGTGTTCAAAACGCAAGTAATCGTTTTGAAACGTCGATTCTCCGCACACCGAGTTAAGTGAAGAACCCAGAACTCCTCCTGACTCTTCAACAGCTTCCTCTGAAGTGGTGCTACTCCTGCGTGTTCTGCTCCTTTTCGTAAACTCCAAACACATCCAAACACGAGGCACCCTTAACCCCCCCCCGCCAAGGTACACACCTCCGGACACGAAGCCGCTCCTATGCGGCGACCTGAGGTTGTTTCCGGAATTCGACCCCGACGAACTGCCCCTGCGAAGACGCGGGGGATGCACTGCAGCACCCCCATCCGCGCCTCCCGCTGCCAGGCGGCCGCTCTGGGGCTGGACGATGGGCGTCGAGAGGGAAGCCGGAGCACCCGGAGGGTGGACAGGTTCCGAGCGTTCGCCGTCCCCGCTGCTGCCCCCACCAGCTGCGGGGGCCCTGCTGAGGCGTGCGATTTCCTCTTCCAAGCCCGAGTCCATCTCTCCGTCTAACTTACTCCTTACCGCTTTCGCGGGTTCAGCTGTGGTGGCCCTCGAGGTTCCCGTGGGAATGTGTGACTCGAGACGAGGGTTGCGTGACGATATTGTGCCACGATGCATACAATTGTTGCTTGCAACGAGTTTCAACGAGCAACTGCTGTGTTCGGGGGGACGGCAGTTGGGATATAAAGGATGCACAAGAAGTTTATGTTGAAATGTTCCGCCGCGTTTGGCGCGTTGGCACAACGGGATGTGCATACGATAAAGCTGGACGTCACAGCAGCAGTAGTGCCGTCTAGCCGAGTGTCGTGCCTATCCGGCTGCTCTGCTGCCGAGCATAAACGAAACATACTCTGTGAAGAGCGAGAACTAACGAAAAACGAGCCCGTATTCGTGAACTAGATCGGATAGGCACAACGCGACTGTGGTGCGCACCTGGTCTGCAATCACAGGGTATCACAACTTCACCAACCTCCGCCAGGGAGCAGCAGCAGAGCAGCTAACATGCCTTCTGCTGCAGCTGCCAAGCCGAAGTTGAAGCTGCAGATGGAGCTCTTTAGCGAGGCGAAGGCACACTGGGCTGCGCCTTATCGCCAAGTTTTTTGTCAGGTGTGTCGGTGTGTCTGTGTGTGGGCATTACCAACCGCAGCGTACTGGGCCGCGTCCTTCTTGCGTCACGGATGCGTTCGTTCCATTTGCTCTCCTCTAATTTGTGAGCGAGTCGTACTGATCCTGCTGTATTCTTCATGTAGCCCGAGGGCGTCTGTTTACCTTTAAACTAAAGCAATACACACATGATGCACACAGTTAGTAGTAGAGTACGATTTCTACAAAGAGTGACCGCCGTGATACCGCCGTAATATCAATAGTAGCTCCTCCATGCATGGCGCAAAGCGAGTTCGCATAGAAGGCAACCCAGTGCAGGGCGATGATGTTAGCATGGGAGAACGAGATGATGGAGCAGCAATGCCTCCTGATAGCACCAGAACCATGTTTAGCAGAACAGAACAGAGCTCGCGCAAGCTTCCCCCATGTATGTATGTAGTCCGACCAGGGTGCCGCCATCCGCCTGAGAAGTCGTGCGAGCGTGATTTATGGAACCAGCGCGTCCCCCCCCCCTGCGTTTGGCCACACCATCGCAGCACGACAAAGACACGGTGGTGCTCTTCCGGGCATGCTGCGAGCACCTCGGGCCGCATGCGACGGCAACGCAGTGCTTCCGCGGGAGCCCATGCTACGAGAAGGACAGAACGCGGATGATGTGGTTCGACACTTCGTTCCTCGTGTGTGAGTAGTGATTGTGGCACTCGCTTCCAGGGTCAGACTTGCCTAGGTTGAGAGTATGGCATGGTCGCACTGTTCGCTAGAGGGGCTGGTACAAATTGCATAGGATACGAGGAAGGGATGAGAGGCGCATATAGAGAAAGAACAGTACCGCCATCGATAGGGTCACGGAAAAGCAACTTTCTTGATAACGAGGTCTTTTTCGGAATGTTTTTTTGAACCTCGGTGCAGGTGGTTGTAGGTATCACACGTCGGCGCAGGTCGTCGTTTTGCAACAAGTCGGGTTTAAAAATGACGCTGTGCGGTCGAAAGAGAATCTAAAAGGCCGGTATTCACCTATGTCCGCCACGCCATCGGAACACGTCCGAGCCACTCCCCTGAAATCCATCGCATCTCTCTGTGACGGTGTCGTCCTTTCCGACGAAGCAGCGATGCGAAAGTCAGAGTGGGGCACGAAAAAGGGCAGGGAAGTCGTCCTAGCAGTTTGGGTTAAGCGCTCGTTCGTCGAGGACTGCTTCGGCACGGCGGTTTGCTCCAACACGTTTGGGCCCTCTTGTGGCGGCAGCGGCGGCGGCGGCGGCGGCGGCGGCGGTGGCAATGGCGGCAGCGGACGTAAGGGAAGCGGTGGTATTGGAAGGCGCAGCAGCTTTGCCGTGACCCCCTTTCCGACTAGCGACCGCGGTTTCGACGACGGCCGATCCCCCCCGACCTCAGGGTTCCCCACCCCCGCAAACAGTGTGGCCGGTTCACCCCCCGCGTCCCCTGTCAGCGGGCAGCAGCATCAGCGACGACAGCAGGAGACCTCTGCGTCGGAAAGTGAAGGAGGACGGGCTAGTGGTGGCGCCGGCGATCGTGACGATGCCCGTCGTGCTGCCGCTGCTGCTGCGACGGCCACCGCTCTGCTGGCGAAGGGACAAGCCAGCCTGGCGCAAGGAAATGAGAATGACGAAGACGACGGCGACAATATTCCCCGCGGTAGAGCAGTTACGGGCGACCCATCAACGGGATATTACTTTGGTGGAATCGCAGGTGATCCTTTGGAAGAGCGTATGAGCGAAGGTGAGAGCGGGGGTGGGGGGTTCGATGAAGGCGCGCGAGAGGAGCGGGGGGGGAGAGCACCGGAGCGCAGGGCTCGATCGCAAAGCTTGACATCGCCGAGCTACAGCGGCAGGATGACGGACGGGGTGCGCTTGCACTGGGAGCCGGAAAGGCTTCCTTCCGGCGAGAAGGTGAGGTGGATCGTGGTCGTGTGGTCGGGTCGGGTTTTGGGCCAGATGTACGTGGGCGTGCTGTGCCCTATTCTGTCATGTAGGGTTTTTCCCTTCAGCGCCAGAGCTGCGACATGTGAAGCAGATGCTCCGGTGCTGTTAGTGGTTTGATACTTTTGTCGACTGGGGGTATTCTGCAACGAAAGGTAATTGATTGATGTGCATATCGTGGCGTTCACCAGCCTACGCGTTTGTAGTCAGGATAGACGGCGCAATAATTATGGCGATGGCTGAAATATATTAGCCAAACATCACAGTTGGCTCCGATTGGGGGGGGGGGGGGGGGGGGGGGGNNAAACAAGTTCGAATATGTGAGCATGGGAATGCCCGATTGCGTTTTCCATGATCAGGCAATCACAAATTGAGCGTTGCCGGCAAATCCGAAAATATGTCGTCCAGCCTTCAACCAATCAGGTCTCGTTCGTTTTTGGTTTGATCCTGGGTCCCCAACATCTTGCTGGCGCTTACCCGTGACACCTTCTCCCCCCCGCTACCTTGTTCTCTTCGAAAAACTATCAGCACCGTACGCGCCGAGTCGTGCAGCTCGGCCTGAAGGGGAAATGGCTGGAGAGGCTTGGTTCTGGGGATGCTGTTGTGCGCGTAGAACGCCTCGATGACCTCCTGATCGAGCAACGCACGGCGCTAACCTCCTCCGAGCCGCACCTGTTGAGGGTGCCGGTGGCGAGGCCGCTTGATATGGGCCATCTCCAGGTATAGAGAGTGAGCATGATTCAATCTGTTTTGTTGTCTTCCTGTTCGGCATCGACACCTGGTAGAGCATGCGTCGCCAGAAACGGGCGCGCATTCATTTCATGGGACGATGGTTGACATTTTCCCGGTTTCTACAATCATTTCCGTGCCATTTCATTTCATGCCATATCATCCTAAATGTCATACCGGTCACCCGATGTGCATCTGATGGTACGAACATTGTTTGTCAGGAAGCCCAGTTGGCTGCGCTTCACCTCGTGAGCGAGAGAGCCCGGCCAAAGTTGCGGATCCTCTGCCTCCATGGGTATCTCCAGAATAGCCAGGTAGGTTCAGGTCGGTTCGGCGGCCAGTTGAACACTTCAGCCGATCGGACGACGTATGCGCACGAGCGGGTAGTGAGCGTATAGGCCACCTCAGGGCCACGCGTGGTTTCAGAAACACCACCTGGATATATTTGTTCTTGCCCAGTTTTACTCGCATGTTGCGATCAGCCTAGAGCAGGATTGGAGGGAGGATATTTCACTCGTGGTTCCTCCCTCTTCTCCGCTCCCCCCACGCACACCAGATATTCAGCCGGAGGACACGCCAGCTCTGCAAGAAGCTCAAGAACACCGCCGAGCTGGTGTACGTGGACGCGCCACACCTCCTCTCTCCGGAGGAGCTTCCGCCGCCCTTGCCCCCCAACCCTTCCTCCCCCCTACAGGCCGCGGCCTCAAAGTTCACGGCGGCGGCGGCAGCGGCGGCCGCCAAGGTGGTCAACACGGGAGAGGGAGGGGCACTGGGGGTCGGGAAGGAGCAGTTGACGCCGGCCTCTTCGCCCACGTTCTCACCTCCGGCGTCGCCTGCTTGTGGGAGCAAGACGGAAAGTGATAGCGGCGGTGGCGGTGGTAGCGAAGGCAACGCAGGTACTCCTGGACAGCAGCAACAGCATCTGGACAGGGTTGGGGCGCGCACGTGGTGGCGATGCGACCCAGAGGAGAGGAAGAGGGCCAAAGCCGTACCGGGGATGGCTGGGCGATGCGAGTGGAAGGTAGCGTGTCTCTCTCACACACACAGCATTCCGCCATGCAATGCTGTTTTGTTTCGCCAAATGACAGCAGCCATCGTTTCAGCCGGGTGACGCAAGCAAGCCCCATCCGAAAGGCCTCCGCTTGATGGGTAGACAACCCGCAGCTTGTTTTGGGGTGGTTGCGCTGGGCTACCCCGAACAGAACTAGAACCCGTCTAGTACACCAAACCGCCTCCCGTGCTTGCCGTTTTCGCGCTTTTTCGTTTCTGGGGCGAGCGTGGAAACCTACAACACCCGATCAAAGAGTCATCCAAGATCAATTCAAAAAAAGATCACGTTTTTCCGGCATCCCGTTACCCAGTGATTGTTCTCTCCCATTTCTTACGTGTAGGGCCTAGAGGATAGCCTTGCGTTTCTGAGGCAAGTGTGGGACGAGCAGGGCCCCTTTGACGGGTTGCTGGGGTTCAGCCAGGGAGCGACGATGGCGAGCATCTTCAATCACTGCACATTCTCCGGTCGCGAGAGCTGCAGCAACGGCGACCTTGCGGTGCGTCAAACGATTTATGGCACCCACAAACGCTGGCAGAAGTGTAATCTACGGCAACCGAGCACGAAAGCAGTGCGGCGAGGGGAGACAAGCACAGCACGCATTCACGACGACAGTTTCGTTTGTTGTAGCTTCTTCGCTGTTCTTTTTTCGACTGCAGTCGCCGTGGGGACATGACGCCAGCTTCCTCCGAAGGCAGTATGTTGTTCGCAGGGAGATCTCGGGGGGAGGAAGCTTTCGCCACCTTTCCCGCAGGGGCTGGGGAGAAGGGACAATTCGAGCACGCATTTCTTCGTATGTTGTAGTCTATTTGGCAACGACGCAATAGAGTACCCGAACTTCGGAGGTGTCTCATCAGGAGCAGGTGTTTCGGCTTGAAAGTGGCGCGTCGTCTGCGCTAAGCGATGGAAGACACGCAACGAATCAACTTGCCACCCGTCCTCCGCTCCGCGTGGGACCTGCAGCTAACATCATAGGAGGAGGGCACAAGCTCATATGCGTGCGTCCTGCCTGCCGGCTGTGCATCGATCTGGAACAGCTAAGAGTAAACGTTTCGATTGCTCTTCTTGAACTTGTTCGTGTTTGTGCTGTACATCCACGCGACATTGTTTGGTCGTTTTCATTGCTTAAGAACGCATGCACGCCTCCGTTGCTAATCCTGCTTGGTGCGCGTTCCAGCAGGCTTATGAAACGCCCCTGCTGCCCTCGCCGAGGTTCGGCGTCTTCATCTCCGGGTGCTATCAACCGCATCCCACACAGGTGAGGCATCCAGTTCACGGTGCAGCTACCTCAATATTCAAGTTTTGTTTCGCCTCCGTGCCTACCTTCTACCCTCAAGCTACACTGTCTGAGATGAGATCATGTGAGTCATCACTATATCAACAACGCAACGCTAGTGTTGATTGCGTTGCTTGCGGCAGCAAATACCGCTTATATGTCACTAATTCCGAGCTCCGCAACTCTCGTTGAGCAGCAACGCCGCTGAACACGCGCCCCCGTACAATACACAACTTTGGTTTTTTGACACGGTATGACCACACCACTGACACCCAGAGATGACATCATTCTTCCCGCCGGCGGTTGCCTCCAACCCCAACCTCGTACTCGTTTGCTCTCCCGTCCCCCCTCCCTGGCACGTGATAACTTAAATTTTTATGTTTTGCTTGCGCACTAAAGTATCTTGCTGGCTGGCAGATTCCGGGTTCTCGTAAGTCTAGGAAACCTTGCCGAGTCTGGCCGTCATTTGACGTTTTCATTTTTCACGTGCTGGGTAACCACCTGTTCTGCCTAGTCCTTTGCGCCCCCACCCGCCGATCCGGCTTTTCCAAATCAGGCAGAGGTTCTACAGTTCTGAGAACCGCGATGTTTGATCGTTGGGAACCCCAACTCCCGACCCCTTGGCTGGCAGATCCTGAGCTACCCGCTGACTCAAGACCAGCCCCAGGAGACGCTGCCGAGCATGCACGTGTGGGCTATCGAGGATCGGTTCGTGCCGGCTTCGCAGTCCCAGAGGCTTGCGGGGATGTACCTGCGCTCGGCCGTGTTCATGCACCGCGGCCGGCATTGTGTGCCCCAGAACAAGGACGTTGTGCCCAACTTTGTCCGGTTCTTGGAAGAACGGCGGTGAGCAACGCTATGGGGCGTAGCCAAATCCTCTGCTTGCCTTTGGAAGTTTGGCTTGTCTGTGTTTGGCAAGGTTGGCCTTGTTTTGGCTCGGTTTAGATGTGATGTTGGGTATGGGTAGGTCCAGGCATGGTTCCCATGCATTCGGTGGTCTCCTTGCGGCGAGGTCTTGATGCTGGCTTTCTCGGGCCGAAATTCTTGCCGACGTGGAAGGACCGATAACAGAGGCGAATGTACGCGCACGCGTGGATCGTGAATTGTGTATCGCGCATCGCCAAGGTTTCCTTTGCATGCGCTTTTGTCGACTGCACCATCGCTTTCTCGCTTTCCACCAAGAATCGTCATCTTGGATGTCATTTTGGACATGCTTCCAATGTGATCTTTTTCGGGTATACTGGTAGTCGATATGGAACACATTTACCCGATCACTACTGTATCCCCCGTGCGACCCCCGATCACACACGTGCACGCATCGCTTTCCCAGATAAATTAGAGCCGTTTTCAGCGGTTGGCGAAGTGATTGTTGTAGAAGTTGCGAAACGACTCTTGGTCGTAACGACGGGGAAACTCTTCGGTCGGTGGTAACTATCGTTCTTGAAATAGATGGGTGCGTTCGAGCCAGGTGTTACTCGATGGGTGCTTCAAACGTAACCAAAGGTGTTTGCTACCCGTGGTTTGTACATGCTACCACAAGCGCGTGAATTGTTATATATTGTTATCATGCGAGGATCTGGATAGAGTGCCGTGGTGTGACGTCGGTGATTTCGGGTGTATTGGTTCGATGGTCGTGGTGCTGTACGCCTCATGGTTTTGATGGTGGGGAAAGTGATTTGGCGGTGTCCCTGTGTTGTTTAGAACAAAAAAAGTCCGATTCATACGCACGCTTGAAATCAAAGTTCTACCATAATGTTTGTATTTCAAAATGAAAATGGTGATGTGTCGTAGAGTGTTTCGTCAACACCGGACGCCTCTACTGACGGAAACCCAACAATGGAAAGATCAGCTAATAATGAACGCAGCAAGCCGAGACTGCTGTTCAATAGGTGACAGCAGTCCTCTTGTGGGCACTTGGCCACAACACAGCATGGGCAATACATGGTTGTGACGCACAACACGTATGTCAACGAGTTGGCGCAGGGTATCAAACCGATTTTTTGCTATCTCTCTCAGCACAAAAACCATGTCCTGCTTGCATTTTGTACAGAACGGCCGTCAAAACACGAACCAAGCTCTTAGCCACTCCCGCCGTGATATTCATGCTGAAGGCATCTACTCAGCACATGCGCTGTATTATCTCCTACGCAAACGCGTGGTGTCTTCAGTACGAAAGTCTTTCACTTGACTGTGTTTATAACCACGACACCACACGGAGTTACCGACAACCATGGCAATCGAGAAACTTTCTACGACCCTAAGGCTGGTATGCAGGGCAGACGACACGTCACCGCGCACACAATTCTCAATGATGGGCCAAAGTTGACATTCCACAAGAAATGAAATCGCTTTAGGGGAGCCCACGAACGGTCGCGCCTCATCCAAGCTCGAAACGGCTAATGTTGATGGGGAATTCCATTTTTCTCATTTGTTGCAACAACCCAAACACCTTGAAGGACATAAACAACAGAACACTTGCAGGACAACTCTAGCCACCAGGTGCGGAGTCATCACATGCAACCGCGGGGACAAACGGCTGTCATTTTGATGCCTCATATGCCACTTCTCCCATGGCGACGTTGAAGGCCGGCGCGCGACGTTTAAGGCTGGCGCAAGCAACACTCACGGAGGTTTCCTCGGACGCCTGCAACATACGTAAAGCAGGCACAAGAGCACTGTCAGGAACAAGACGCTCGGGGACATTTAGCGGTAACATGGAGGGCTGGCTGCTTCGGCAACCATGGTGCCGAAATGCATTGGCATCGACAGTTAAATACCAAGTAGCAAGTACACAAGCGAGAGTTCTGTCGATCTCATCCGAGGATCCTGACCCCTGAATTCACACGCTGACTGCACGACGTTGGTGGAGAGTCAATGTGCCCAGCTACGGGATACAGGGTAACACATGGCGGCAGCAACAGCAGGGAGGTGAAACACTGAACTAAGCAGTAGAAACCGTTCGACAAGAGCACGCGTGTTCCTACGCAACACCCACCCCAACAGAGCTGTCACCAGTGCACCACGTTTTATAGCCCTTCGCCTCAGGATCGGAATCATGGTCGTCAGTGGTGTCGAAGCTGCTTCGTTCCTGTTCAAGCCCTCTGCGCCATGGGCAACGCCGAGGGTGTCGGTAGGCCACAGCCAAGAGACAGCATGAACCGCCTCCACTTGCGAAAAAAGACGGTGAATGGCTCTCAGCTTGTGCACGTGCTTCTCCATGGCCGTCTTTCCACCGTCCATATTCTCATGGAGGGAACAGGTCGCGAAATCTATTGGCGTAACGCTTCGTCCAATCTGCCCCGCCGTTCCCTTCAAGGGAACAGCCGACACCGTATCTGCTCCGGCATCAACGAGCAATCGCACCACTCTCGGCGAACAGCGAAAGCCTGCCATGCCGCCATCAATGCTGCAAAGCAAGGGCGTCCTGCCGACAAGGTCGTGGGTATCGTTCACATACATGTAGAGTTCTCCACCCGCAGATGTACCGTGTCGCTGCTGCAAAAGGAGTTTCACTCCTGCCTCGTCATTGCGTCCAGCAGCGGTGATCAGGGCCTCGCCGGTATCCATCACTCCTGCGTCTGCCAAAACAGACATGACGTCGACATTCTGGCTGAGGGCGGCCAGGCGGAGAGCGTATACCCCACCACTTGCACCGCCGCAACCCTTGATACTGACTTGCTTGATCAGTTCTCGCACCACCTCCGTTTGTCCGTATTCCGCGGCTGTGTCCAACGGGACGAAGGTTACTCCCGATGGCGTCGGCTTCGTCAACAGCGGATTTGCTTTTGCACGAAGGAGCACCCTGGTTGCTTTCTTGTGTCCTTGGCGCGCAGCAGAATACAGTGGTGTCTCTCCATCCGACCTGACGCTGTTGACGCAAGCGCCTGCCTCAATGAGCACTTGCGCTACTTCCCAGCACCCTGCGTTAGCAGCCAGATGAAGCGGCGTTTCTCCCTCCGATGTCACCGCTTCGATGTCTGCACCGGCCTTGAGCAGCATCTTGGTGACAACCGGATGGCCGCCGTCTTGAGTGGAAAAATGTAGAGCCGTGTGGCCATCCTCAGCCACTACTGAGACGTTGGCGCCCTTGTTGAGCAGGATCCTGACCACCCGCGAAGAACCCCTCCAGGCTGCCAACATGAGAGGGGTCCAACCGTACTCCGCGCCCGCGTCGATAGCTATTGATGATCTGCTCGCAAGCAGGGCAACAACTCGCTCGACGGAGCCGTCGTTGGCGGCCCTGTGAAGGTCATTCTGAGGGCCTCGAGGCCACGGTTGGGCGGTAACCCGCTGTGTCACCATCTCCGGTGCTGAAGAAAGGTCGGCAATTTGGCCGAGAGAAGAGGCGTGTTTTCTACTCGGGCGACAGAGGGGAGGCAGCGCAGGAGACGAGGAAGATGCACAGCAGCGCGGCGAGGCGGTTATGTGGTTCCTCTTCCAGTTTGAAGACTATTCAAAAGGATGTCCAAAACTGCTCCATGTCCACGCACGCCGACTCAAAACCCCAACACGGGTCCAGCTAACGCGAGTTGACCCTGATCTCGACACTGGGTGGTCTAATGAGGTGTGCGTCCGTTGATTTGGGGGTGAATTAGGAAGGTGCGAACATATGAACGGGGGTCCTGTAGTGTACGGAGTCAACATGCGAAAGTAGACAGTTTGGGGGTTATCACTGGGAGAGGGTGAACACAGCAGTCCCAGCCGCTGCTGTACGACAGCTAGAGGGGCTTTTCCTGAGGAACACTTCACAGTTGTCGCATGCACATCTAGTGTGTGACCCCTGGGTGCTCTTTGGTCGTTTTCGAAATCAGGCAAGTCAAGGTCGGGTGTCACCACACCCCTGAATCATCCATGCGAGATTTGCTGCCATCAATAGACTACAATAGGTGTGAAGGTTCATTGTTGGGGTGATACAAAAATGGCACAGGCCAGGGTATGGTGCGTGTTTCATGTGCATCGAATACATGGTTACAGGGGGTAGGCGGGATTGGGTTACTTACTGTAGGTAGAAGGTCGCAGAGCAGAGGAACTTGGCGACCTGCTACACTACACACTACACAGAACCCCGACATGGTTGCGTGCGTGTCACTGATGCGGTGCAACATGTTTACTCCCCTGTTTTCATATTCCTTTCATATTGATCCCTGGTTCACGGGGCGCTTGGTCGTTGTTTTATATAGGGTAGGGGAGTGCTGCTGGCAGTCGAGGATTGGCAGGCATAGATGGACAGCAGTTTGGCGTGTGCGCATGTAGGTGTGGGCATGTTCAACTCTCTGTGCGGGAAAACCACGCGTTCAAGCACTTGCTGCTGCAACCCACCTGAGATGGCTGGGGTGTTGGGGTGCCCTGTGTCAATCGCACGTCACCAGCATAGAGGAGCAGCACGTCTCTGCAGCTGGAGAGATAGTCTTCAAGTCTTGTCGAAGAGGTCTGCTACCCCGAATAGAAGGGCCCAGGGGAGAAGGGGTTGTGGAGCATACCTCGAGCCAGAGACCAAAACCAAAAACGAGTTTCCGTCGGTAGGTACAGACCGGCACAGACCGGCAGAGGTTCCCTAATGCACTGCACCGGTTCTCGCACCGTTTCGGGGAACTCCTCGAACAACTCCGCCGCTTTCACATCAACTCCGTTGCATCATGTACATCTCTAACTCCGTTGCATCTGTATCTGAGTGCATTGAATACATCCTTTGATCCAGCGCAAATGATGACAAGCGATGATGGTGAAGGGAGGCGACGATTCGATACGCAAAATGTTCAATGAAAACCGTGTTTGCGGCCGATTGCCATGTTGTCGTCGCGACACTCGAGAGGCATCGCCGCAATGGACACTGCTGTAAGGAGTTGACCGGGAGGTAAAAAGTTTGGCTTAAATGGGTAAGGATGTGCAAAGCCGAAACGCAAGTAACCAATGCCTCGGACCAAGTGTTGCGTATGTACCATAGTAGGGCGACCGTTGGAACATTTGTTAGCAGTCACTTCCCCGCTCTCTCAGATGTGCACTAGACTACTGCTTGTACAACACATCGAATAGTCTATAAACTCAACCCTTAGAAGCCGAAATCAAACCATTAGACTCGTCAGCGCTGATTTCGGCTTCTAGTCAATAGCCCAAAGCGTTCAGAAGAAAACCAGCGTGTGTCTGATGGCAGGCCCCGATCTGCATAAACGACCACACGCAACGAAGCGCTATGTAAAGAAGTGTAGGAGAGTAACCTAGCAGGGATAGGCAGTTGGTAGGGTTGTTGAGAGGGGAGATTAAGAGGGGGGAAGAGAGAGGAAAGTCTGTGCGTGTGCGCGCGTGCACGGTACGCGAGGGGGTATGTGCGTTTCTTTTGCTGCATGGTGAGGCGAAACTTTGACTTCCCCGCCCAAACTTCCCTCGTGGAGTTGAGACCGCGTGTGAGGTTCGAGGGTGGACTGGTCGAGGGAGGGTTGGCTCTTGCATGGAGCTGCAAAGCTGCTGTTTAGGACATGGGAGATGTTAGTTTGGTATCCTGTGAGCTTTTGTGCTGTGCACACCCTACAGGATGCCCGCTAAATTTTTGCTGATTATTCTCCAAGTGTATCACACACGAAGCGGCGTGTTCGCAGTCTGCCCCGTCTTGTAGGGGTGTCCGGTCTATGGCCTGCAGCAACGACTACAGCATGCGTATACACAAGTTACCCCCACCCGAAATACCCCCACCGGGATACCGGGTACCCGCGCTTACCCGCCTCCAAACTACCCGGCAGGTATTGGGTGAGGTCTGCATCCCGTACCCGGTTCGAGTATGTCTTTGGGAAGCCGGCATACCCGCCTGGTAAACGGGTACCCGGCCAACTAGTCTTTAACCTGGCTCACAGACATTCGCTACAGGGGTGATAGTACTTGCCGTGTCACCGGTCTACCTATTCCCATCTAGGAAAATACAACCTTTGCATCTACATGCTGTAGGTGGCATCCATTCTTAAAGCATTTAACTGGCGGGGCCTTCTCGTGTACATATTATTTACGCACATAGATGGGTGGAAACAGCGTGCTGATACACCTTGCAGTAGCGTCCACTGAGTTAGGTTGGGGCTATCACGCATCTCTGGTGAAACATAACCAAGGAGTTCACAATTGTTAGGCGACGATTTCGCGAAAACCTGGAAACCCCGGGGGCGACAAGAACACCTGGGAGTGCCTCTTTCTTTTTCCCACGCGCAGTTAACACACAACTTGTTTTTTCGCACTGTGAGGCACGAGCCCAACACGTGACATGCATCAATAGAAGCAACAGAGGGGCTGTTGGTATGTCACACTCGTCTCTCGGCAGCAGCACCGATCGTGCCTCATATCATTTGGTGGGCATAGTCCAACATGGCAAATACCACTTCCAACAACAGAACTACCACCACCGACAACAACAACAACAACAACACCAACACCAACAACACAACACCACCACCAACAACAACAACAACAACAATACCAACAACAACAACAACAACAACAACAACAACAACAACAACAACAACAACAACAACAACAACAACAACAACAACAACAACAACAACAGCATCTTGCCTGAAAGAACACCAGGGGTTTCCTGCGAAGGTCACGGAAGCGGCCACACAAGATACAGATTAGAATGGACACCCTTCGATGAACTCCAGGTCTGGGGGAAAACAGATGAATGACCGTTGTGCTTCGTGATTTCTTGTTGAGTGGGGTCCAGGTGGGCTACCTCTGAGAATATGGCAGCATATCCAACCTGTACCGCCTCTTCCCCTCGTGATGCAGCACACCGCGTGTTGCGACAACAGACAACAGTATCGTATTGTGTCCGCCCGAAACACCGTACATCAGACCAACTGATTGGAGCGCTCGAAGTGTTCGTCCGACCATGTACTAATGAGATAGCAAGACTGAGAATATACCCGCACCAAAGCAGAAACCCAGCATGACTGAATATGGGGGCAACAGCAGCATTCTTCCCCGAAAATAAAAAGCTCATCTGGCCATTTTGAGCTCAATACACGGAGGACTTGAGGTGGAACACGGAGAACAGCACGGCCACTTCTACGATGGCGGTCGGGACACTGCAACAGCCCACGATCTGCCTGGAGTGTTACCGTCCGCATCCAGCATGGGAAGGAGAGGGGAGGGACCGAGAGACACAATGAGAGAACTCATGGGTACTTTTTTTTGTTTTCGCGAGCTCAATGATGGCGGCAAAGGTAGGTCACGGGGAGGGTGGAAGGGGCGGGGCGAGTCACATTGTCGATTGCCGGTCACACGCGTATGTTCACACCAACGTTCGTTATGGTTTTCGGAGCCTTTGGTGTAAGGCGTCATCTGGGAGGGTTTACGTTGCAGAATATCCATGCACGCAGTGGGCAATTTGGTTGTTTCAGCACCACATGCGTTCCCTCTTGTTCAGGGTTGCCTGGGAGTGGACGAGTGAGAAATAGTATGCGACTGAATGTCAAAGGGAGAGTGAAAATGATTTCGAACTGGAGCGGAGCCCCTATCCTTCATGCAGTGGTCGGTATAGCTCCACATCGCCACTTCGTGCATTCATCACACGTCACTCTACTCCTGTTGTAGGGTCGCTTCTTTACAAGACGGTCAGCGGTGTCTGGCGGCCTCTCTTGGGGTTAGGATCAGACCTTCAGTCCATGTCGTTTCCACGTTTATTAGGACGCCTTCATTCCATTGGGCTACAACTTTTACAACGGGTCCGGCCATGTTTTCAGTTTTTGCTACATCGCCGACAACATGGTGTATTCCCGAACTAAATATCTGGAGTCGAGGATGGTTCGACCTGTTTGTTCGTGTGATTTCCAAAAAAAGGTATTATCACCACACACAGTATTAGACGAAACCTTCCGTGCGCAAGTCGTCAACTTGTTGCGAACGCGTGCGTAGCTGACCTAATCTCGTTTTGGTGGGTCAAAGTACGAAACAGTCTTTGCAGTGGCTAAAATGTGGGCGCCGGTATGGATGGATCGTAGGCCAGATCGAAACTCACCAGAGACATCTGTAGTCCCACGCCTCGGAGATGAAATGTGCGATCAAGACGGCCCCAGAAAAATGCGCAACGGTCTGCAGCGCGTTCACCTGCAGAGCGTGCGCGAGACACGTTAGTGTACTACTACTTTGGAACAATCAATCGTGTCAATCGTGTCAATCGCGTAGAGCAATAGATTGGGTTGACCCGAGCAAGAGTTCAGAAATGTAGTTGGCCTGGTCTTGGAATAACTACATGTCAATAATCCAATCTAGGAAACATTGTGATTTCCCACGTTCCTTTCGGCGAGTGTCACCTCGAGGAGCACAATATTTCGAAGCGCGCATATGGTTCTTGGTTAGGTTGATGACCCGGCTATTCGAAGAAAGAAGGCGCTCTCTTTTTGGGGGGGCGAAAACAAGCATGGACAGCTAGCTGTTGTCTCTACAGGTGGACCCCGCACACAAAGAAAAAATAATGTTCCTCCCCATTACAATCAAGGTAAGTATCAATATTTGTAGGAATGTCATCGTCGGACACACATCTACAGTTGAAAATAGTGAATGTTTTTTTCTACGCATTTCTTTGATGCTTTTTTTCAAATATTGAACATAGACAGCCTACTTCCTGTATGCGTGTACAAAACGAGAGTTATGCGTTGACAGTATTCCTATGCTTCCCTCCGCTGTGAAGCAGACGAGTATTGCGACCCCTCCTCTGTATGTCATTGCTGGTGATGGTGACTCTCCGACGTGCACAGCAACCAAGCATGTATGTATATACCCTACGGCTGCTGCCCCAAGAACGCTCATCTTCATCCTGCATAGAAAATAATCCACGACAGCCAGCAATGAATCCATCCATCAACGAATGCTACCTGTATTTCCACAATCTCCCGTGCTGCACACAACGACATCACCCCTGTAGATGAAGCCCTTCCTGTGGGCTCGTTGCTGCGATATCTGTTGTTCGTCGGGGGTACGCTCGCCCTGAGAGGCGTAGCGCGTACTGCGCAACGAGTGTGAGCTTTTTTTCCTTGCTGAGCGGTGTCGTGGTGTGTGTGTCTTCAACAATCAAAAATCTACTCAACAAACAACCGAGCGTGCGGGTGTTTGTGAGGTGCTGCGCCAACAAGGGAGCAAGTGTATGCGCCCTACGGGCTTCTTTTCACCCTCCGCCTCGGCCACTCATGTGATTCTGCCACGTTTTTGGGCTTTCCTCTGGACCACACACAAGGTGGTTGTTTGGGTCGTTCGCAGCCCGCCTGAAGCCCGTACGGGTTATCTCACGGGGGGGGGAATTCCGGGGATGTTCATGGTGTGGAACCTCACCGCGGTGCGGTTGTTTGTCTCTTGATACGGTCACGGTGCAATGCAGTGCGTTTGTTTTTATATCGATATTTGACGGTGCGGTGCGGTGCGGTGCGGTTCACCATCGCACGGTGTTTTTTTACGGTGCAGTTTTTCTACCCCGTAATAAGAACCGCGCGAACCGCGGCCTTGGCGGCGGTGCACCGTCGAAGAACACCGCGGACAATACTACGGTTGTCCGTGACAAAATGGCGGGGTCTATACGATTTTGATTTTTTCGTGTAATACGTCAGATTTAGTCCATCGAAATGAGGCCGCCATACGAATCCCGCGGCTTGCGGTCAGAACATCCGAAAACCCCGGACAACAGAGAAGCTACTTTGATCATATTTTTCCTTCTTCATTTTTCCATTCACCATACGTCCCTACAACACTCATCAACAGCAGCTACGTTCCTCACTTGCTTCTACTACCACTGCCGTTGGAATATGCCAGAAAAATATTAGTAAAAAATCTGGCAGCACCACCAGGCGGCTCATGTTCGCCGCTGGCTACAACGAGATGGCGGTGTGTGTGGTGCGGGGACACAGTGTTGCGTGTGTGCTGGTTTCAAAGAAAAAACAACCATGTTCAGTGTTCCGGGCGTGTGTCTGCACGACAACACCGTGCAATAGCTGAGGTTTTTAACGCGGTTTGCGGCGGTCTTGACTACGGGGTAGGAAAAAACGCACCTTGACAAAACCGCAACTACGGCTTTTTGTGAACCCTCACGGTGCGGGGCGGTGCGGTCGTTTCATCTGGAAATGTGACGGTGCAGTGTGTCAGTGTACACCGTGCGCACCCACGGGAGATATCGTGCCCACCTACGGTATAATGTCTGGGGACAATATTAAGCCAGAGGACTGATGCAGATAATATATAACCGTGATTATCACATACTTCGAAGTACGTATTTCTTCCAGCACGGACCGCAGTCAGTACAGGTCCTGTTTCAGTGAACACATGAGGGGCCCCGCACTTGGAACCCCCAACATCATACCCCCCACACACATATTCTGGAGATCGGAACTTGTATCCAAGTACCCCAAACAGCCCCCCTGCTTGATAGAATATACGATAATCTCCCAACCAATACAAAAACACAAATTACCATCTGATAAACATCATTTACAAAAATGCTGGCTCCGCACGAAACACAAAGCGTCTCCATCAGTTTATCCACGAACGAACCCAATGTGTTCGCCCCTGGACATCTCAAACCGTCAAAACAAAACAATCATCCTCACAAGAGTACCGAACAAGTATCCGCGCTACGTCAGAAAAGCTTCGGAACGGTGACGGACAAATTTGGAAAACCAGCTTCAAAATAATTGGTACAACATCCTCGAACAAAACGAAGTCTCACCTTCTTGACCAATCAAAACGAGCATTCGGAAAGCACAAGTGCCCCAACCATTACTCGTCCAAACATGTCAAACCCTTCCTCCAATGTAGCGTCTAATAACCAAATCCTAAACAGCGCGCACATGCAATCGGTGCCTCAGCCGTTGTCCAAGAGCCGATCGAAACATAAATAGTCGTGCAAACAGCCCCCCTGCTGCAACATCTCCCGAAACTTGCAAATTCTGTGCCACCCTTCTCTCCCTGGTTGTTGGCACAATACAGTAATATCAACACCAATATCAATACGATATCAATACGTAACAGCCCCCAGCTGGAACATTTCCCCGAAACATACATATAGATTTGCCTGCGCTTTCTTCCCCTCCTTTTCAACCAACAGAAGATCTCAAAACATCAAAGTGTAGGAATCAGCCCCCCAGCAAAAACGTGCCCTGCATACACCAGGAAAAAATATACGCATTCGCTGGTGTTGCGTCTGGGATCATGACAACACATTTCCTCTCCCCCTGATCCTTGACGCAAAACACAGCATAGATGACGCGTCGACACAGAAAAAAATAAAATAATCCTTACTGAATAAGTATTCATCACAAAATCACGGTGGGACAAAAACGCGCTCTTGTGCAAAGATTTCGTGAGAAAGTCCGCATGCTAAAAAGTCGTGGGCACGTGCACAATCTCAAACTCCCCCCGTGCTACACACTCTCGAATAGAGTGGTGGCGCATGTCGATGTGCTTGGAGTTCGATGTGGTGGCGGGGTTGACCGCAAGGTGAAGGGCCGCCTCGTTATCCTCAAACACCAGCGTCCACCCGACATCGCGACCCGGAAAAATGAAACCCCAAATGTACCGCAGGAAAATCGCCTCCTTTTCATACCGTCAGCCATCGCAACATACTCTGCTTCTGTCGACTACAGCGTCACACTTTTCTGCGTCCTAGACAAAAAACGAAACACACACACCGCCGCACATCACAACCGCTCCCGAGGCCGACCGCCGGTCAGTGTCCCTGTCCGAGTCAACATACAAGGGCAAATCGATACCCCTCCTGGAACCCCGCTGAATGTAGAACTGTACCGAACGTACTCCTGAATCTAATGTACATCGCAACATGCAACGCAGCCCGCCGGTGTAAGCCCTTGGGCGCATGGGAATACCTCGCAATGGACCGCACGGCATTATGGATATCCAGCCGAGTCTGGTTAGCAAGGCAGATGAGATGACCTACCAAAGAACAAAAGGGCTCAAGAACATCAGGTTCGTCAGCAGAAATATCGTCAAGCTTCACTCCAATAGGCATGGGGGTCTCCTTGTTGCGCGTGACACCAAACTTCGCAACCAAGTGGACGGGTAAAGGTCCTTGCGACAATGTAGTAAGCGTACCAGCATCCCAGTCGCGTGACAAACGAACTCCCGCATACAAGCGTAACGATCCGAGGTTTGTGATGGGAACGTAGGCGTTCAAGTCTCGGCCAAACGTGTCACACCGACTCTTCCGCCCGATGGAAAATATGTCATCAACCACAACCACCATGGAAAGCACACCATCCTCGATCAAACGCATGACACACTCATCTGCAGCACACTGGTCGAACCCAAGAGATTTCATGCCCCGAACAAGGTGGTGGTCCCACGTGCGCGACGCTTCCTTCAAGCCATATGCGACTACGGGCAAGTCTCACAATCTTACCCGAAAAGGGCCCACAACCCTGCGGCAGACGCACGTACACGATCTCATCTAGCATCGATTGTACAAACGCTTGATCAGCATCACAGTGGCACATGTCCCAACTCATTTCACACGCGATAATAGATAAGAGGCGAATACTCGGATGGGTAGGGCACGGGGAAAAAGTTTCAAGATAGTCAATACCTTCACGCTGACCGAAACCCCTAGGTACAAGCCTAGCCTTCGCACGCATCACATCACCGAATTCATCGATTTCCACGTGTAGACCCATTTGGCAAAGATGACGTTCGTTCCTCGTTCTAGAGCCCTTCCGCCGGCTCCAACGTGCCCGACCCAACCAGACCATCCATCCCCCGCTTCTCGGCTGCTCCCCAAATTGCGCTGTGCTGCCCCGCGTGAGCCCGGGCGTAAGTAGCCGGAGTCTCAAGGTCGCGCGCCGGCCCGTTGGGTAACGGGAGCTCATCCTGCAAAGGGTGAGCGGCGAGCGAAGCGGCGATATCCTCCTCCATCGAAAGAAGCGCAAGTGCACCCGGCAATCCTCGAGCTGCTCCACCTGCCACCGCCTGTCGCGCAGGCGCCCTGGTCACCGCCGGTGTTACGTGGTAGCGGTCGTGTTGACGCTGAAGATGCGGGGCGAGGGGGGGCACGGGCGACGGGGGCGGAGCGGGGGCGGGAGGTAAAACGGACAAGGGGGGGAAGACGCTCCCCCCTCTCGTGTGCTCGACCGCCCCCGCGAACGCCGCCCTCGGTGTCGCCGCCGCCATTCCGGCTGCCGTCGCTCCTGCTGCCATTGGCGCCGGCGATGGAGCTCTGGCCGAAGCCGTCTGCATGGCCACCGGCGCTCCCGCTGATACTATCATCGGCGACGGGGTTTCAGCCAAAATCGCCACTGCCGCCGCCGCTCCTGATGACACTGGGGCCGGCGACGGGGCACTCGCTGAAGCCGCCATTGCCGTCGCCGCGCCTGCTGAAGTCGCCGCCGTCGCCGCCGCCCCCGGGGCCGTCGCCCCGGCCGGTGCAGATGGCGCCCCCGTTGTACGTCGGCAGGAGGCCAACGAACGGCCGGCGTCGGTAACCCCACACAGCGCCGGTGGTGTACCCTACGGCGCCGAAGGCGAAGAGGACCTTGGAGCAGTCGCAGGAGTGGTAGTCACCAGGGTTAACGTAGAAGCATCGCTCGCCCTTGGGTGCGATCTTGGCGGGATGCGGGCGCGGTGAATACCCGGCATGATGAAGTGCAGAGGTTGACGCAGAGGACCTTTGCCGTGGAGGATGATCGGGCGGCTTGTCAAGCCGTGGCCGCGTGTTGATGCATGAAGACATCCAGCCCCATGCCTCCGACCAGATGCGGTTGTAATCGCAAGCCACGCGAGGGAACTGGAGGTCAGGGAATAGCAGAGAAGCCTCCGTGACAACTGCCCGGCCGCCCTCCCGGACCAGCCCGATCCGACGCTCCACCTTCCCGTTACGCTTCTGCCCTCCGTCAGGGGACGTCAGCTCCCGGGTGATGCCGAACTCCAGAAACAGATCGCTCACCGACGCGTTGACCAGCTCCGTGCCGTTGTCCGTCAGAAGAAACTGGAAGTCGCCGTGGACGTCCCGCAGAGGGTGAACGGAAACGAACATCTCGCGAAGGGCGTTTGTCACGGTCGTGGTCTGCTTGTTTGGAATGAATTTGACGATGCGTAATTGGTTGTCATCGACTAAGGCGAGGCAGTAGGTGGTACCACCGGCGGAGGGGGGGAGCGGGCCCGTGAGATCGGCGAAGAGGCGTTGAAGAGGTCGCGAGGCCGTGGAAGAAGTCGTCGTGGAAATTGCCTTGCGGATGCCCTTGCCGACGGCGCACCCGTCGGAAAACGACAGTGGACCGGTGACTTTGATCTTCATCTGGCGTGCTGCTTCGCGGATGAGGCGCTCGTGTGCGTAGCCCAGGGAGACGTGGAGATCGTTGATGTCCATGGCCGCCGGCATACCCGGCCGCATGAGAGCAGCGGCCATGGCAACGGGTTGTATACCGCTGGCATCGCCACCACTGACACCGCCGCTGCTGCTGCCGCTGCCGCCGCCACCGCCGCCGCTGCTGCGGCGGCCGCAACTAATGTCACCGCCGTCACCGTTGCCGCCCCCCCCGGACCTCTGGCTGAGGCCGCCACTCCCGCTGCCGCCAACGGAGCTCTGGCCAAAGCCACCACTCACATCTTGGCGCGTCCTGCTGACGCCGCCGCCTCCTCCGGGGCTCTGGCCGAGGCCACCACTCCCGCTGCCGCCGACGGAGCTCTGGCCCAAGCCACCACTGCCGTCGCCGCTCCATAAATCGTGTGAGTGTACCCCGTGACCACCCACGAAGGTTGCCGTACCCACCCACGGAAAATACGGTGCCCACCCGCGGTATAATGTCTGTCTGGGGATCATGTTAACCCGGAGGACCGATGCCGATGACATGTAACCTTGATAAACACACACGTGCTCTTCCAGCACGGACCAAAGCCAGTACAGGTCCTGTTTCAGTGAACACATGCGCGGGCTCTCACGAGGGGCCCCGCACTTGGAACCCCCAGCAGCATACCCCCACGTACATATTCTGCAAATAGGATCCTGTATCCAAGTACCCCAGACACAGTGCGGTGCGGTTTTGTCGTACCACGGTGCGGTGCGGTATTGTTTCATCTCGAGATGTGACGGTGCGGAAACCGCACCGCACCGCACCGCACCGCACCCTGAACATCCCTCGGGAAAATTTCTCCGCACTCTTCCGAAAATCTGTATCGACTGAGATTTAATGTTCAGTTTAAATTATTAATACGCGCCCTCTTTCTGAATTCAACGCGTCTATACTTCACATTTTGTTCTTTTCGTGTTCTCTCCCTCATCCTAAACTTATTTCCTCCACAGAACAAGGCGAGGTACGAGAAACTCCTGGCTGCTATGGGCTTTCCGCACGCCAAACCCGACCTTCCTCCGTCGAAGCTATGCCGCCACATCCTCGACCCTCCCACGTTCGACTCCGTCGCGGTCTATCTGCTCGACACACCATGGAGAACGTGTACCCGGCGATGCTCCGGTTTTCCGCACCTGGACCGGTCGTAAGAATGAAACCCGGCATGGGGCGGCCCCCGAGTTGCTCCGCGACGTGCAACCCCACGGGAGAATTCCCGATAACACGTGCTAACAAACACACACTGTGATTACGACATGGTGTCCACCTTTTTCATCATAATTCCGCCGCACATGTCCGTCGACTGGGACCGTCACGCCGGTGGAGGCATCCAAGTATCCGCGGCCATCTCTAGTTGTACCAAGGTGCGGATTTTCTTTTGAGCTATTGAGTTCTTTATCAGCGACCGAACCACATAAGTACCCCATATCCCAAATAACAACGTTGTTAGTCACCTGTACCTTCCGTGAAGCAACTGCGGTACGAGATCACGGATGTCTTAGCTCGTTTCCTTCACTCGACCCATCGCCGTGATATTCTTGTTTTCTATTGCTTGTCTTCTAGCTGTTGTTTCTTTCGGTTGAATCTAACCGCGCATTTTCCTTGTACGGATTTTTCGATCATATTTTTATCGCGTAACTCATTTTGATTTCGTAATTTCCCATTTATTATACATCTCACACGGTTGCTTATTCCAGCTTTAAGCCGTCCACATCTTTGTCATGATGTACTTATCGAGTTGACCGTATCCGTAGTTGGCATTGTCATACGGGGATGGACAGGACAACGTCGACAAAAAATCGATATTGAATTATCAATAATAAAGTCTTTAGCAGGTAACGATGTTGGTCGATCGGCGAAATGCACCCCATTTCTTCTTCTGCACGGCGGCTATGAACGTGTTGTGTTTGGGGTGTCGGCGCGTGTACTATATTATCACGCTCGCGGGCTCTGGTCGAGAGCGTTTGGCATAAAGGAATTACTCAAGTTCCTTGATTAATGATTAACGAGTGAGAGACATGGGCAGCCAAGCAGAACCTACGCGTCAAGTCCATCACATCCATCATGTACAATATCAATCTGCGTAACGCCCGGAGATCTCGAGATTCGTGTCCTGCCGAGTACACACACAAACAGCGCCCCTACTCGGTATGAGAAACGATCTACGAGATCCCCCATACATGCCGCCAGGTAAAACGCAACAAATATAAAGAGCATTCATCTTTCGTATCCACAAATCATCTCAACTCCCGGATCTAATATTCAAATTTCAGGTTACTACTCCTCCTTATGACTAGGAACTTCATTAGGAGGCTTAACAAGCACCCCTCTCGAGAACATGTCGTCACCACATTCTCAAGCAGTCAAAAACAACAAGCACTACTTGGAAAAATACTCAGCAAAGATCAACATTACATCAGAGCCACGTCATAAAGACTCTGGACGGATAAATCTGGCAAAATGCGTCAACAAACACTTCGAACAAAATCCTCGCAGAAAACCGTGGTTCAACTCATTGACCAATTTTAAGTAGGCTTCGGAAGCACACAGGCCTCAACCATGTCATACCAAAATATGCCAAGTCCTTCTCCAATACATCGTTCAGAAGAACCATCAATCAATACCAAATACGGCAAAAATAGACAAAGGTTAATGACCTGGCGTAAACAAAGGCGCCAGAGGAAACTTTCATCAATAGACTAATGCCGTTTCTCAAACATCGGGACATTTACTTCGTAACAGCCCCCCTGCTGCAGTATCTCTCAAAACATAACAGCTTAACAACCCCCCTGCCGCATCATCTCCCAAAACACAAAGGCTTAACAGCCACCCTGCTGTCCTATCTCCCAAAAAATAAAAGCTTGTACAGCACAATGCACTTCGACTGAATTACAGAATATAACGAAGAATTAACGTTTAAGAATGCAAGAATGCAAAATAACTACCTACTGCAATGATATCCGTGGTATCACACACAACCCCCCCCCCCCCCCCCCCCCCCCCCCCCCCCCCCCCCCCCCCCCCCCCCCCCCCCCCCCCCCNAGACAATATCAAGAATAGTCAACCAGCGGCCAAAATAAATACCGCACAACATAAACATGACACAAACAGCCCAATAATGCCTCGAAATTTCATAACAAAGTTGTTGCGGTGCACTAAAAACGCCTCCTTGTGCAGTGCTTTCGAAAGGATGGTCGACGAGGCGGCAAATGCGACGGGACAAAAAACGACCTCGAACTCTCCCTTGTCAACACGCTCCCGAATGAAATGGTGGCGAATGTCAATGTGCTTGGGGTTGGGAGTGGTGGCCGGGTTGTTGGCCAAATGAAGCGCCCCGACATTGTCCTCCTTGATAACAGTGCACCCCACATCCCCATCCGGAAAGATAAAACTGCAGAGATATCAGCTTGCGTACAAGACAGCGTGACGCTCTTTTTGAGCCCGAGAGAAAAACGACACGTAGGACCCCGCACACATGACAACACCTCCCGACACAGACCGCCGCCTGTCCGTCGCTTTGCTAGCGTATTCCGAATCCACATACACCTCCAAGCTAACACCGCCTGCCGTACCCCGCTGAAATGTACCACCGTACGCACTCGTGAACCTAATGTACATCACAATATGCAATGCAGCCTTCCAGTGCCCGGACTTGGGCGCGTAAGATAACCGCGCAACGGCCCGGACGGCGTTGAGGATATCCGGGCGAGTTTGATTCGCAAGCCACATCAAGTGCCCCACCAAAGAACGAAACGGCTCTTCAACGTCGGGTTCACACGCATCAAAACTCCTCAAGCTTCACGCCAACAGCCATGGGGTTTTCTCTGTTTCGGGTGACACCAAACTTCGCGACCATGTTAGTGGCATACATCTGTTGAGAAAGAGTAATCGTACCCTGACCAAAATCACGGCGCCCCCGCTGTCGGTGAATCGGACAGACCTTGGATGACGCTGTGTTCCGGCGACAAAGCTAAGATGTCGTAACCAGTTCGTTGCTGGGCACCCCATTGCTTCTTCTGCACGGCGGCTACAAAGGTGTTGTCTATGAGGAACCCGGCGTAGAATAATCTTCCAAGCGCTCGAGGAACTCTTCCTATGCGACGGCGAGGAGTTCACAAACATGAGCGAGTGCGACCAAAGGTTCTACGCCGGGTTCCTCATAGACAACACCTTATCTTCCAGGCGCTCGAGGAACTCTTCCTGTGCGACGGCGAGAAGTCCACAAACATGAGCGAGTGCGACCAAAAGTTCTACGCCGTGTTCTTCATAGACAACACCTTCCTAGCCGCCGTGCAGAAGAAGAAATGGGATGCCCAGCAACTAACTGGTTACGACATATTAGCTCTGCCACCGGAACACAGCGTCATCCAAGGCCTGTCCAATTCACCGACAGCGGCGGCGCCGGAAACGATTGACCTGTCAACCGCATCGTCTCCGAAGGAGAACGGTAATTGGCCGACGCCCGCCCCTACCCGACCTTGACCGTCTTTTCACCGGGTGTACCCGATTTGGCCCCTGCTCATATAAACACCTCTTTTCGTAGACCGCACTCTATACAGCATCGACCTGCCACTCAATTTTAATACCTTCGGGTTGCGACTCGGGCCCCGGTGCCCACTGGGGGCGGCGGGGCCCTTCAATGCCCTGGTTTTAGTATACTGTAGAACGATGCCGAAATTGAAGTCAGAAAAATCTAGGGCTAACCCTAGCACAGTAGTATGTACCTGGATAACTGCGCCTCTCCGCGAGGAGCTGTAACTACAGGTAGATTTCAGACGAATTTCCATTTACGTACCCGATACGGGGTGCACCTTCCTGGGTGTGCATGTATCTCACCTTCATCATGAATATGGACAGGCCGAAGAAAAGGGACATGAAGTCCAACCCAAAGCAAACCATCGCCAACGCTAGCGCAGCCTGCACACGGGATGGCGGCAGTGCACATTGGCGGCAGCGAATGATTGCCACGACAAAGCCTTCAATACAGAACGCGCCACCACTTAAGTTGAGAACTTGAGCCTCAAACCATCCAAAATATAAGAAATTGCTCATAAGGACAGGT